TGTAAGTAAATTAGCTGTGAATGAAGGCCTTTGAAATGACGCGTTTGTCAGGACGTCCTGCTGCTTAATGCCATAAATCTTCCCTGCGATACCGCACTGAAATCAGTGACAACAAAAGAACAGCGCGCACACACACCAACATGGCTACTGTCAACCTGAAAGATGCCTTATGCATTAGTCTTTCTCTAAAACATTCACTCTTTCTAGTTTGTTTTTTTGCTTTAAATTTAAAGCAGGATTTGTGACAAAAACAAAAGAAAAGAAGAAAATCATCGACAGCAGTAACTTGTTTCGTTGTTTTGTCTTCTTTGGTCCATTTTCTTGCATTGAAATTGGAACGGCAAAATAAGTGCAGATGTGTTTGTGTATTGGTTGAGCTTTCATGTAAATAATAGGGATTCAGTTTCAGAGATACATGGAAAACATCTGTGAGAATGATCGGTAATTATCACACTGTATAAAACAGAGCGTTTCTATCACATGCTATATTTAATTTGAACAGAAAAAAAAATCCTGTTCCTCCTCTGTCAATGTTAAAGCTCTGAAATGGCATATGTAAAAAAGACACTTTGAAGTTGGACGTGCAGAATGAAATGACTGTATTTAATGAACTGTACGTCCTTCTTGCAGAAGCCATGATAATTTTCCCTTTTTTCCCTCCTTGCAATCCTGCATTTAAAAAAAATACACTCATTACATTCAGACTGTAATGACTAAATACTGTGGGACCAATTATTTAAATAAAGGGAAAATTCCTTTCCTGAGCTTTGGACTAATAAGACTCACATGTTAGCTTTGTTTCTTTGGGGAACGAGCTGCCATTTTCTTTTTAGCAGAGACAACCCAACAAAAACACAGACCTGTGCTGAGTGACCTTAGACCCGCTCTGAGGTCACCGCCGGTGTTCCCTACCAGCTATGACAACTTTACAACTTCAGGGTTCATGCTGGGTCCGACACTGTATCACAAACTCTCGCTGTTTTCTTTTATTTTCACACACAGTCAGATGATACTGAGCTTTTCTCAGCAAAACTCTCTGATCCTCTTGAGCATGTTTAATCCTAAAGTCTTAATCTCTTATAATAGGCTTCATTGAGGATGTCAGGACAGAGACTTTGGTAAAAGCATGTAGATTTGGTAAATATTTTAACAACCTGGTAAGTACAATGTAGAGAGGGGCAGGCAGGACCCAGATGCACCACGGAGGAGACAGGAACAAAGTCCAAATCTGAAAACAGCCAGCAAACACACAGAAAACTGAACAGAGTGTAACCACAGGGAGCACGGGAAACTAAGGAAACATAGCAAGAAATACAGGGGAAAAACAGACCTGGTGTTCTCCAACAGGAACAGACAACAACAGCAACGATGAGTCAACACAAAACAGAGAGAAGGAGAGAGGTTTGCATGGCAGGGCAGCAGGTGAGATGAGTGAGACTTATCAGAGAAGCACAGCACACAGGTGAGGGTGATGACACTGATCAGCCCAGGAGTGACAGACAGAGGTGACACAAATATTTCATGTTCCACAAAATGTATACCAATTCATTCCTTTCTGTCGGCTTTAAGCATTTGTGCTGGAAGAATGTTTTACAGGATATACCAAGACAAGGCCAAAGAAATGTGACAATCAATGACATTGTGGCTCCAACTTACTAACATAAAATCGGTGTTTTTTCCAATTAAAGATTTAGCTTCATGGGTGATGACTTAAATAAAAACTATGCATATATATATATATAATTAAGGTGCTTATTCTTCCCACAATGCAGTTAGATTTGTGTTGGTGTACAGCCTCATCAGATGAACTCACAAATACATTCTGTATGGTGTGGACCGTGGAACGTTATGCTACTGTACTCGTTGCACCGAACAAGGTATTAATTCTGAATTCATAGCAGCCCCTGCAGGAGGGTCGAAGAAACTACATGCTATTTGAATGTAATTAATGAGGAGGAATTATTGCATAGATTTCCTATAATGACTACTGTAATATCTTATCCTTCAAACTTCAGAGTAACGACACAAGGGATATTTTTACTACCAGATGTTACTCCCGCCTACATGCAGTATACTATTAAATAAACTACTTATACTGGGAGATTATACAGTGAAGCTGCTCTTTTATATTGGTATGCTATGAAGGAGGACGTAATCTATGTGTATGCAATCTGTAACAACTCTATTCAGTACGTGCTGCAGCTATAAAATGTGATAAGACCAGATTTTCACGTCGTGTTTTTTCTTCTTCTCCTGCTGTCAGGAATCATTGGTCTTTACCAGAGCTTTAAATGTAAACAGGGAGGTGCAGTCAGCCACAGCAGAACAGTATTGTTTGGTGAGATGGTGACAGTTGAGCAGGAGCGATTCAGATGTTCTTTATCTTCCTGCTGCACACTGAAATGTAGAGTGATGTAAGCTGTACATTTGCAGGAGCCCCGAGGAACTATGATACTTTTTTTTTTCTGCATTGTGGTTGTGCTAATGTAATTATGCATAGTCCCAGCACTGAGTGAAGAGCAGATTTCTATCTGTGAATATCAATGTTTTGTGTTTTTTTAATTAAATGTGCAGCATTTAATTAAAAAAACAACTAGGTTTTTATATTATTTTTTTAGGTGGAGACTTGGGTGGATTTCCCACTCTTGTCCTGGGGAAAATTTGGGATAAAATCACTGATTAATGAAACTGTGCCTCACACGTAGGCACACATTTGAGCATGTACTCAGTAAAAGGCTATATTTACTGAAAACACACCAGGTTTTGGCTCAGGTTCTATGATCCGATTGTGAATGCAGCATCTTGTTTGATGTCTTTTTGATGATGGACATGAAATAATGTCTAAATCACCAGAGGCTGTAACATCAAACAGATTCAAATGAAAACACAGTAATGTCTTCTCCGTGCTCTTGATTTGCCTCTGCCCCCACTGAAGCTGGGCTTCGACTGGGAACCGATAAGATGCGCTGATAAATGAGGCCCTTTCATCGCCGGCAAACTTTGACAAGTCTTTCATTAGCAACGCAAATAATGCTCAGTTGAGATGCTGCATCATGGTCCAATCAGATCATCACGGATGCTAATGTCAGCATTTTCCTTGAGTTGTTAAAGGTGTGGGGCAGGGTCTGGGATGGGGTTGGGTGTTGAATGGCAGTTAATCATTACAGCATGGATGAGGAGAAGCCCAGGATGTGCTGAGGTGTGTATCAGGGAACATCCCCCTCCCCCCCGGGTTTATTGTGGGAGTGAGGACGGGACTTTCTACTGTATATATTGTTCAATTTCACAATCCAGTGTTCTATTAGATCATAGGCTGAAAGTGCTAATGCAGAGCACAGGTGAGTCGGTGATAATGAGCCAATATATATGCATCATGCAGAACGGATCCTTATGCTTGGGGAAGGCAGCTCAGCTCATTCATTCATCACAATTTTGTCTGTTATGAAAATGCAGATGGGAAAAAACCTCCCCTCGCCGCAATGACATCACAGACGCCCCTGGAGGTTTAGTCTCATCCGAGGTGTGTACACTGACTCTCTGGTGTTTATCATGAGGAAGCTTTTGTAGACGATGCCAGTTCATTCCCAGTGAACCGTAGATCGATCCTAAGGTTTGCATTTAATTTGATACATATCCGAGTGGAAGCCAAGTGTGTGTATCATCCACCGACCACCGTGTGACTCGGGGCCGCTGTGTAAACTGAGAGGCTGATGGTCAAACAACAAAAGCTGGGAGCGGTGGTGGACTCAGAGCTTTGCTTTGGCCTCCGCATCGGTCTCTTGACATCCAACTGGCACACAGCGCAAACTAATAAAGTGCACCGCCCAGATCCTGCAATAACTGCACGTACTGTACGTGTGATGAGAGCCTGTGTGGTCAGTCGGAGCCAAATCTTGCTGGAAAGCCTCGGATGGACGACACGCTGAAGATTCTGAGGATTCTGCTAAATCTGTGGTGTGAGACCCCTTTTTGGATGATGTGCTACAGTTCAGTCCTGATGACTTTAACACGGGGACTGATCCAAGACAATTATGGTCCGCCCCTGAATGTACTCTTGAAAATATGTATGACGTAGAACTTACAAAAAGTCAGGTGATTCTCTGATAACCACATATTTTCCTTAGGATAAAAACAAAACATCTCTAACGAACTAAATGTACTGAAATAAGCGTTTGTTAAAAAATAAAAATAAAAGTCGCTAACATGGAAAAAGAGTTCAGGCAGAGACATGGTGAGTCTGAAGTAGGTCAACATTCATAAAAGTAATGTTCTCAGAGGTTGGGATTATGGGCATTAAAACTCATTGTAAAAGAAGAACCACAGTTTAATCACTGTGAGCAATGATGTGTTGCATTGTGTCACAACACAGCGCTCAGAGCGATGGATTTCTGTTCTGCTAATGTAAACCTTTCCATTTATGACACTTTGAGGAAATGAGGTCTTTACCATCTACAGTTAATAATGTTATGAAAAGACCTATACATTCAGGAGGGAAGAGTGTGTGTGAACTCGAGGGTGAACTGCCGCTGTGTGTGTTTAACCTTCAGGTAACAAGGCATTAGAAATTGGCATGATCATAGTATAACCCATAACAATAACCGACGCAACGCAAGGCCAGCAGATAACATCACAAAACAGTTGTATAATTTCTCAACGGTAGAAGTAGCACAGTTGTAAAAGCTTATTCCAACTGTTTTATGTAAATAGATTGACTTTAACAAATGCAGTAAGAGAGAACACTTAGAGCTGAAATTCAACTGCATTACACATTTACATATTTAACTTAAACTTTAAAGAAAACAAAAGAGAAAATGTCTATCACTGAACTATTCCATCAACAATACCCAGCCCTAGAAGCCCAGAGGATCTGGTAGAAAACACTCATGGTGTAGTTTGAATTTTTTTTTCATCAAAACGATGACTCTCCTTCCTCACATCAAGGTCCAGTCTTCTTCAGGCTCCAGAAAAAACAAACAAACAAACAAACAAAAAGACCGTCGTTTCATCTGTTTATCACTTTAATCAGAAATCCTATTTCTTCCCGTCACCTCAGGCATGAAAATGTTTATTAATCATCAGCGATTATTCTTATGGTCCATTTGAGGGGAAGTGTCCCCATCAATCACACTCTATCTGCTTCATTTTGGTTAAATTGCCCCAAAACACAATATTCTTGTTTGGGAACATTTTGGTAGCAGGATATGGCTTGGTATTATTGTTCAAAAGAGGCTTGCAGAAGGATTAATGAACGATCAAAACATCCCCGTGAATGATCTGTTAATCTCACATGCTTAAATGAGGATCACCACAGATTCGACAGCGTTATTTTGCCATGGGGCCCGGTTTGATCCAAGCATGACCAGTACTGCCTGTGTAGCCAAAGCCTACAGCTGATTCTTTGAAATGTGTTTGGATAGAGTTTTGGCTCATTTTCAGAGAGATTCCATTAAATGTTAAGAAATGTGTTTTTTCTAATATCCACGCAGTGCCAGCATTCCCAAAATAATATTTACACCTAGAAAACTGAGGCTTTAAACAGGCAGGAACATTTAAAGTACGTTGTTTTTTTAAAAAATGGTAATGATTGTCATTTCTTTTTAAGATAACATCATTGTTGAGTAATTACACATAAACTCCATGTTTCAATTGGTGCTGACCAAAACAAATGTCAGCCAACGGTCAATCCAAGTAAACCAGACGTCTGTGAACAAGAAAAAATTTCACATTTATTTGATATCAAACAGGAGTCGGTTTAAATATCAGCTGATGATGGGCTCTTACAAAAGGAACAAAAAGGAACCTAATCAGTGCTGGAACACCATTTTTTTCCCCCACACTCACTTTCTAACCACACCCTTTTCTTCCCTGTGTTTGTCCTGAAATCATTCAGTAAATAAATTAATTAGTGTCAAAAGATGAAACCAATCAGCACGAACCGCTGTATCGCATTGACATGAACATTAGTTTTTAAACCTGACAAAATTTTTTTTTCAAGTAAAATAACTTACACAGGAATCCAATTTACTCCGAAAGTGTGTGTGTGTGTGTGTGTGTGTCCGTGTGTGTGTCCATGTGTGTGTGTGTGTGGCCCGGTGTTAACAAATATACGACTGGGGAAGAAACGTCCCAAAAACAAGTCATCATGAAAGCAAAAGCACTTCACAAGCAGAGATGTGAGCATGAGTTCATATGGACTGGTACCTTTCTTTTTTTTATATGCAAACATACTACAACGAGTCAAGTGTGAGAGGAAAAAGCACGTTTCCACTATTTCGATTAACCTTGTCTGAAGATTCTTATTAACATTGAAAGGGTATAACTACTGAATGGTTGTCATTTCTTTTTTTTCTCTTTTTTTTCCTTTTTCACTTTTTACACTAGTGGTACAGCAAAATATATTTTCTTTAGCTGTTACTTTGACAACAGTTAAATGTGCAATAGAGAAAATATAAGGCCTGAGTCTGAATTAGTGGTTTCATAACTTTACAGTCCTGACTGTATACTGGAGCCACACTAGTTCTAGTTCTGTACTTTATGACTAAAAAGACCCTGGTTTGGCAAAGCCCCCCAGGAGTACGTCAGGAGTTTTATAGTTCTTTGCTTGGAGACATTTTCTTTTTCATTATTTTCCAAATCCTAAATTCTTCTTTCAGAACCAGAGAAATGAGACAGACTTTTCTGTGACACAGTGGACTTTGTGTTGTTCTCTGCACATCTTCCAGTCCGAGAGCAGTTTTCACAGTCCACATTTTGTCTGGCATCAGATGGACGTGTTTCGTGTGTTAATGAGCTTTGTGTGCAAAAGTCATTTATTCATTCTTTTTCCCACCCCAACATTTCACTTCCTGTTTTGACAGGAAGAGCATGCGGAGTGCCGAGACACACTCGCCGGCTCGAGCAAAAGTCCTCCATCTGTTAGACCCTGTGCAAACGAAGACGACTCACGATCAGAGGCTGGTGATGAGCTGCATTTGTCCATCGGGGGGCGCCTCCCCCTCCTGCGCGCAGTCCTCATTGGTGGGTGAGACGATGCAGCTGTCGCTGGTGCCTCGGTTTATGTGGTAGTAGGACAGGGGCTGCGGCGCGTCACCCAGCTCAGGCATGCTTTTGTGATACGCATCCTCGCTCTCGCTTCGAGGTGAGGGCGAGAATTCCTCCTCCTCCTCTTCCTCCTCTGGGGGGTATGGCGAAGCTGAAGGCGACGGTGAGTCTCTCAAGTTTGGCATGCTGGTATAAAGGGAGTCTCTATTGTTGCTGGGTGAGTGGGAGCCCATGTCCTCCGCGGCGGTAACAGTCTCAGAGCCTTGGCCTCCTTGCCCCTCCGGGCGCCTGGGGGCTTTCTGATTGCTGTACAGCAAGGAGTGAGTCCTCTGGGGCAGGAGGGGGGCCTCCAGTACCTCCTTGTGGTGGGGGTGCAGGAGCAGCTCCAGGTTGGCGTGTCCCCCTCTTCCACCTCCTTTCTGAGGGGACGAGGCTTCGACGTGATCCGCCACAATGGCGGCGTCCTCGCTGCCGCCCCCCCCCCTGTCCACCGGCCCCCTTGTCTGGGGAGGCATGGCCCGC